TGTGGGTCTCTGTGTGGTGAGTGTGTGGGTTTCTGTGTGGTGAGTTTGTGGGTCTCTGTGTAGGGAGTGTGTAGGTCTCTGTGTGGTGAGTTTGTAGGTCTCTGTGTGGTGAGTGTGTGGGTCTCTGTGTGGTCAGTGTGTGGGTCTCTGTGTGTGTGGTCAGTGTGTGGGTCTGTGTGGTGAATTTGTGCGTCTCTGTGTTGGAAGTCTGTGGGTCTCTGTGTAGGGAGTGTGTAGGTCTCTGTGTGGTGAGTTTGTAGGTCTCTGTGTGGTGAGTGTGTGGGTCTCTGTGTGATGAGTCTGTGGGTCTCTGTGTGGTGAATCTGAGTCTCTGTGTGGTGAGTGTGTGGCTCTATGTGTGGTGAGTGTGTGGGTCTCTGTGTAGGTAGTGTGTGGGTCTCTGTGTAGGGAGTGTGTGGGTCTCTGTGTGATGAGTCTGTGGGTCTCTTTGTGATGAGTCTGTGGGTCTCTCTGTGGTGAGTGTGTGGGTCTGTGTGGTGAGTGTGTGGGTCTCTGTGTGTTGAGTGTGTAGGTGGGTCTCTGTGTGGTGAGTGTGTGGGTATCTATGTGGTGAGTGTGTGGGTCTCTGTGTGGTGAGTGTGTTGGTGGGTCTCTGGGTGGTGAATGTGTGGGTGGGTCTCTGTGTGGTGAGTGTGTGGGTCTCTGTGTGGTGAGTTTGTGGGTTTCTGTGTTGGAAGTCTGTGGGTCTCTGTGTGGTGAGTTTGTAGGTCTATGTGTGGTGAGTGTGTGGGTCTCTGTGTAGGTAGTGTGTGGGTCTCTGTGTAGGGAGTGTGTGGGTCTCTGTGTGATGAGTCTGTGGGTCTCTTTGTGATGAGTCTGTGTGTCTCTCTGTGGTGAGTGTGTGGGTCTGTGTGGTGAGTGTGTGGGTCTCTGTGTGGTGAGTGTGTAGGTGGGTCTCTGTGTGGTGAGTGTGTGGGTCTCTGTGTGGTGAGTGTGTGGGTATCTATGTGGTGAGTGTGTGGGTCTCTGTGTGGTGAGTGTGTTGGTGGGTCTCTGTGTGGTGAATGTGTGGGTGGGTCTCTGTGTGGTGAGTGTGTGGGTCTCTGTGTGGTGAGTTTGTGGGTTTCTGTGTTGGAAGTCTGTGGGTCTCTGTGTGATGAGTCTGTGGGTCTCTGTTTGGTGAGTGTGTGGGTCTCTGTGTGGGGAGTGTGTGGGTCTCTGTGTGGTGAGTGTGTGGGTCTCTGTGTGCTGGGTCTGTGGGTCTCTGTGTGGTGAATCTGTGGGTCTCTGTGTGGTGAATCTGAGTCTCTGTGTGATGAGTGTGTGGGTCTCTGTGGTGAGTGTGTGGGTCTGTGTGGTGAGTGTGTGGGTCTCTGTGTGGTGTGTGTGGGTTTCTGTGTGGTGAGTTTGTGGGTCTCTGTGTAGGGAGTGTGTAGGTCTCTGTGTGGTGAGTTTGTAGGTCTCTGTGTGGTGAGTGTGTGGGTCTCTGTGTGGTCAGTGTGTGGGTCTCTGTGTGTGTGGTCAGTGTGTGGGTCTGTGTGGTGAATTTGTGCGTCTCTGTGTTGGAAGTCTGTGGGTCTCTGTGTAGGGAGTGTGTAGGTCTCTGTGTGGTGAGTTTGTAGGTCTCTGTGTGGTGAGTGTGTGGGTCTCTGTGTGATGAGTCTGTGGGTCTCTGTGTGGTGAATCTGAGTCTCTGTGTGGTGAGTGTGTGGCTCTATGTGTGGTGAGTGTGTGGGTCTCTGTGTAGGTAGTGTGTGGGTCTCTGTGTAGGGAGTGTGTGGGTCTCTGTGTGATGAGTCTGTGGGTCTCTTTGTGATGAGTCTGTGGGTCTCTCTGTGGTGAGTGTGTGGGTCTGTGTGGTGAGTGTGTGGGTCTCTGTGTGTTGAGTGTGTAGGTGGGTCTCTGTGTGGTGAGTGTGTGGGTATCTATGTGGTGAGTGTGTGGGTCTCTGTGTGGTGAGTGTGTTGGTGGGTCTCTGGGTGGTGAATGTGTGGGTGGGTCTCTGTGTGGTGAGTGTGTGGGTCTCTGTGTGGTGAGTTTGTGGGTTTCTGTGTTGGAAGTCTGTGGGTCTCTGTGTGGTGAGTTTGTAGGTCTATGTGTGGTGAGTGTGTGGGTCTCTGTGTAGGTAGTGTGTGGGTCTCTGTGTAGGGAGTGTGTGGGTCTCTGTGTGATGAGTCTGTGGGTCTCTTTGTGATGAGTCTGTGGGTCTCTCTGTGGTGAGTGTGTGGGTCTGTGTGGTGAGTGTGTGGGTCTCTGTGTGGTGAGTGTGTAGGTGGGTCTCTGTGTGGTGAGTGTGTGGGTCTCTGTGTGGTGAGTGTGTGGGTATCTATGTGGTGAGTGTGTGGGTCTCTGTGTGGTGAGTGTGTTGGTGGGTCTCTGTGTGGTGAATGTCTGGGTGGGTCTCTGTGTGGTGAGTGTGTGGGTCTCTGTGTGGTGAGTTTGTGGGTTTCTGTGTTGGAAGTCTGTGGGTCTCTGTGTGATGAGTCTGTGGGTCTCTGTTTGGTGAGTGTGTGGGTCTCTGTGTGGGGAGTGTGTGGGTCTCTGTGTGGTGAGTGTGTGGGTCTCTGTGTGCTGGGTCTGTGGGTCTCTGTGTGGTGAATCTGTGGGTCTCTGTGTGGTGAATCTGAGTCTCTGTGTGATGAGTGTGTGGGTCTCTGTGGTGAGTGTGTGGGTCTGTGTGGTGAGTGTGTGGGTCTCTGTGTGGTGTGTGTGGGTTTCTGTGTGGTGAGTTTGTGGGTCTCTGTGTAGGGAGTGTGTAGGTCTCTGTGTGGTGAGTTTGTAGGTCTCTGTGTGGTGAGTGTGTGGGTCTCTGTGTGGTCAGTGTGTGGGTCTCTGTGTGTGTGGTCAGTGTGTGGGTCTGTGTGGTGAATTTGTGCGTCTCTGTGTTGGAAGTCTGTGGGTCTCTGTGTAGGGAGTGTGTAGGTCTCTGTGTGGTGAGTTTGTAGGTCTCTGTGTGGTGAGTGTGTGGGTCTCTGTGTGATGAGTCTGTGGGTCTCTGTGTGGTGAATCTGAGTCTCTGTGTGGTGAGTGTGTGGCTCTATGTGTGGTGAGTGTGTGGGTCTCTGTGTAGGTAGTGTGTGGGTCTCTGTGTAGGGAGTGTGTGGGTCTCTGTGTGATGAGTCTGTGGGTCTCTTTGTGATGAGTCTGTGGGTCTCTCTGTGGTGAGTGTGTGGGTCTGTGTGGTGAGTGTGTGGGTCTCTGTGTGGTGAGTGTGTGGGTCTCTGTGTGGTGAGTGTGTAGGTGGGTCTCTGTGTGGTGAGTGTGTGGGTATCTATGTGGTGAGTGTGTGGGTCTCTGTGTGGTGAGTGTGTTGGTGGGTCTCTGGGTGGTGAATGTGTGGGTGGGTCTCTGTGTGGTGAGTGTGTGGGTCTCTGTGTGGTGAGTTTGTGGGTTTCTGTGTTGGAAGTCTGTGGGTCTCTGTGTGATGAGTCTGTGGGTCTCTGGTGAGTGTGTGGGTCTTTGTGTGGGGAGTGTGTGGGTCTCTGTGTGGTGAGTGTGTGGGTCTCTGTGTGCTGGGTCTGTGGGTCTCTGTGTGGTGAATCTGTGGGTCTCTGTGTAGTGAATCTGTGGGTCTCTGTGTGGTAATCTGAGTCTCTCTGTGATGAGTGTGTGGGTTTCTGTGGTGAGTGTGTGGGTCTGTGTGGTGAGTGTGTGGGTCTCTGTGTGGTGAGTGCGTGGGTCTCTGCGTGGAGAGTGCGTGGTTCTCTGTGTAGTGTGTGTGGGTCTCTGTGTGGTGAGTTTGTGGGTCTCTGTGTTGGAAGTCTGTGGGTCTCTATGTGGTGAGTCTGTGGGTCTCTGTGTGGTGTGTCTGTGGGTCTTTGTGTGGTGAATCTGAGTCTCTGTGTGGTGAGTGTGTGGGTCTCTGTGTAGGGAGTGTGTGGGTCTCTCTGTAGGGAGCGTGTGGGTCTCTATGTGATGAGTCTGTGGGTCTCTTTGTGATGAATCTGTGGGTCTCTCTGTGGTGAGTGTGTGGGTCTCTGTGTGGTGAGTGTGTAGGTCTCTTTGTGGTGAGTGTGTGGGTCTCTGTGTGGTGAGTGTGTGGGTCTCTATGCTGGGTCTGTGGGTCTCTGTGTGGGGAATCTGAGTCTCTGTGTGATGAGTGTGTGGGTCTCTGTGGTGATTGTGTGGGTCTCTGTGTGGTTAGTGTGTGCGTCTGTGTGGGTCTCTGTGTGGTGAGTGTGTGGGTTTCTGTGTTGGATGTCTGTGGGTCTCTGTGTAGGGAGTGTTTGGGTCTCTGTGTGGTGAGTTTCTGGGTCTCTGTATGATGAGTGTGTGGGTCTCTGTGTGGTGAGTGTGTGGGTCTCTTTGTGGTGAGTTTGTGGGTCTCTGTTGGAAGTTTGTGGGTCTTTGTGTTGGAAGTTTGTGGGTGAGCGGTGACGACGACGACGATGGTGATGATGACGACGATGATGATGGGAGCTTCTCCTCCGGCTCCGCTATGTGGAGAGAGAGGCAGCAGCACCACATCAGCACATCATCGTCATCATCATTGTCGTCATCGTCGTCGTCGTCATCGTCGTTACCATCGTCGTCATCCTCATCGTCATCATCGTCGTCATCATCGTCATCATCATCGTCATCATTATCGTCGTCGTCGTTATCCTCATCGTCGTCATTGTCATCGTCTTAATCATCGTCATCATCATTGTCATTGTCGTCATCATCGTCATCATCGTCATCATCAGACCCACAGAGACCCATGCAGACCCGCAGAGACCCATAGACCCATAGACCCACAGAGACCCATAGACCCATGTAGACCATTCATAGTGCGTGACACCGATTCTAAACATGGAGGGGAATATCTGGAGGACCCGGAGAAGAATCCACGTGGTGACCACTACGGGGACAGAAAATCAGACTGCAAATATACAGCAGCGGCAGGCATCGTCAGTGTCGGGATCGAGCCCACAACCTCCTGCGTACCAGGCGAGGTAGCTAATGTCTCATCAGGGTCGGGGTCGAACCCACGACCTCCTGCGTACCAGGCGAGGAGTTAACATCACATCAGGGTCGGGGGTCGATCCCACGATCTCCTGCGTACCAGGCGAGGTAGTTAACATCTCGTTAGGGTCGGGATCGAACCTGGGACCTCCTGCATACCAGGCGAGGTAGTTAACATCTCTTTAGGGTTGGGATCGAACCCACGACCTCCTGCGTACCAGGCGAGGAGTTAACATCACATCAGGGTCGGCATCGAACCCCCGACCTCCTGCGTACCAGGCGAGGTAGTCAACATCTCATCAGGGTCGGGATCAACCCTACGACCTCCTGCGTACCAAGCGAGGTAGTTAACGTCTCATCAGGGTTGGGATCAAACCCACTACCTCCTGCATACCAGGCGAGATAGTTAACATCTCATCAGGGTCGGGATCAAAGCCACGACCTCCTGCGTACCAGGCTGAGGTACACAGAGAGAGGCTCACCATGGCTCAGCAGCTGCAGAGCCCTGCACAGGAGTGGTGCCGCTGCTGCTGATGGTGGTGGTGGCGGCCCAGCTGGTGGTGTCGGCCCAGCTGATGGTGGTGGCCCGGATGGTGGCGGTGGTGGGGGTGGCCTCACTGGTGGTGGCGGTGGCCTCGCTGGTGATGGTAGTGGCCCGGATGGTGGCGGTGGTGGGGGTGGCCTCGCTGGTGGTGGCGGTGGCCTCGCTGGTGATGATAGTGGCCCGGATGGTGGCGGTGGTGGGGGTGGCCTCGCTGGTGGTGGGGGTGGCCTCGCTGATGGTGGTGGTGGCCCGGATGGTGGCGGTGGTGGGGGTGGCGTCGCTGGTGGTGGGGGTGGCCTCGCTGATGGTGGTGGTGGCCCGGTTGGTGGTGGTGGTGGTGGGGGTGGCCTCGCTGGTGGTGGTGGCCCTGCTGGTGGTGGGGGTGGCCCCACTGGTGGTGGAGATGGCCCTGCTGGTGGTGGCCCGGGTAGTGGTGGTGCTTTTGTGCCACCTGTGAGCCAGCGCCTGCTCAGGCGTCATCTGGAGATTTGGATCCCATCTATTGGGAGACACGGAGAGAGGGAGGGAGGGGTGGGAGGGAGGGAGACGCACACGTGGTGAGAGGGGCATGGTGAGATGATTTTACAGGGTGGGAGGTGGGGGGAGAGTGGGGAGGTTGCGGCGTGGGGAGGGAGAGATGGAGAGGGTGGGAGGGAGTGGCGGTGGGAAGTGAGTGGGTGGCAGAGCTGTCAACCCGTACGGTTTATTCGATATTCTTGTACAGGGTAATTGAGTTTTCAGGTCCGTAAGGAGTGCAGCCGTTTCAATTTTGGGTAACAGCAATAATTTGTGTCTATATGTTTCTGTTTGTCCCTTGTGATGGGACTTTACAGGATGAACGTTGAGATTTATAAGGGTCACCGGGTGACCAATAAAGGTCTGAATTGGGTCTGTATAGTAAGGTAGGGTACTGATAAGGGGTTGACAGGTATGGGGTGGTGAGTGGGGATGAGTGAGTGGGGATGAGTAAGTGGGGGTGCATGAGGGCGTGTCGGGGTGAGTGAGGGGTGAGTGTGGTTCGTACTGCAGGCAGCGGCTGACGAAGTCCACCAGCTGAGGGTGGTGGCCCTGCAGCGCGCGGTGCAGGGGGAGGCTTCCCGGTGGCCGCTGCTTGGACAAGTTGTATGGGAGGCCCTCAGAGTCTGCAGAGAAACAGAGAGATGCACGCAGAGTCACCAACCACCACGTCGCCCACATACCCACTCATCCTCTTAACTACCCACCTTCCTATCCACCTACATACCAACTCACCCACCCATTCACCTACCCACCCACCCACTCACCTTCCTATTCACCTACCCAACTATGAAGGCCAGCACTGTGTACATAGACAACAATCTCCCCCTCCCCATATTAGCCTCATCTGATTGCTGGGGAAAGTGCTGTTAGTAGTGAGCAGCACTTATCAAGGCCAGCACTGTGTACATAGACAACAATCCCCCCCCTCCCCATATTAGCCTCATCTCATTGCTGGGGCAAGTGCTGGTAGCAGCGAGCAGCACCTTTGAAGGCCGGAATGGTACACGAGGGGGTGGGTGCCCAGCACCACGCCCGGCCACCTTTGTCTCCTCGCTGGCATTTGTGGCCGTGAGAGGGAATCAAACTCTATGAGTATGGGTCTCTGTGGGTCTGTATGGGTCTCTATGATTCTGGGTCTCTGTGCAGACCAACAGAGACCCATACCCATCGAGACCTGCCTGCCCACCCACCATACCCGCCGTACCCACCCACCATACACACCCACCATACCCACCCACTATACCCACCGTACCCACCCACAACCCGTACCTCGATGCAGCAGGGCAGGTGTTCTTCGTAGGTCCGTGAATCAAAGAGATCCTTGCCAGTGGCCATTTCGGCCACAGTGCAGCCCAGGGCCCTACATGTCCACAGCGCAGGTGACATGGTAGCCCAGCAGCAGCTCCGGGGCCACGTAGGACACCGTCCCACCCACGGTTTGTGCTGCACAGCAACAACAACGACAATGAATATGAAGTAGTCCCTCAATCAACAGCGACGTGGATTGAACAGGTTTTTTTTGGTCGGTCAAACGCGTAGTCGGCTTCTGCAACCGATATTTCACGGCGGAGGCAAGTTTTTGGGTTGGGCTGCGTAGTCTGGCTGCCCGCCTGATGACGCTCGGCTGTAAGCACTCGAATTGTAAACTTCGTAGGTTTACATCTCCAGCACACCGGTTAGTGCTGTGCAAGTGGCGAATTAGAGTGTCTTGTTTACGTGACGCTGAACCTCACTGAGTGGCTGCGTCGGGTGGCGGTGGGTTTGATGACGCAACATTTACATTGACCCGAGCTAACCCCGAAAAAAAATTCCACGCACGTGAAGCCACTCACTTTCATACTTTAGGTAGAAGCTGCACCCGAAGTCGGTGACCATCACTTTGCGGCCGCGGTTAGCAGAATGTTGTCCTGGACAAAGGGGAGAGACAGAGAAGGAATTACACGTTCTGAGGTTATGGCGATAGTGTCCAACCAGCAGTGGATCGATCACGCAAAGTGACGCATTTACACCCACACGGGCAGCCCCCCCCCCCCCGACTTGCGACACGAGCTATGTGCCTAAGACCCATTCAAAGTCGTTTTAATAAACTACTAAACCCATTTGCTTTATTTTTCTACCAGGGTGTGAGGCCCCGCTGAGCTGCTTTGTAGCTATTGTATCAGAAACGACCTGGCCATCACGTAATGATAGCTCAACGAAGTGGGCTGATATCATCATCACGTGGAAATGTTACAGCAGCAGTCAAATACTCTAAACGCATGGTGATGTTGATTATGAACGTGGAGGGAAAAACCGGAAAAATCCACGCGACCACCGCAGGGGAGAGAGAGAGATGCAGACTCCAAATATACAGCAGGCGACAGGGTCAGGATCGA